ATAAAAAAATTTATCTCTTTACCATTTTCTAATCTAATAAAAGGTTAGTAAAACCTCAATTTTGTCCATATCATAGATGACAATAATTTTTAAACGAAGTGAGCCCTTAATGTGCGACATTTTAATAAAATTGTGACTGGAGCCATTTTAACAGAATTGTGAGCCACTGTAATAGAAATAAGAAGCTCACATCAATATTACAACAAGGCCTTGAATTGTAAAATTGTTAAGTTTTGAGTACTTGAATAGGAAACCTATAAAGTTGAACTCAATTAGGAACCAAAAAATGTTTGGGAACTTTGAAAGTTGAGGGTCCTTATCCGTACTATTTCCCAAATAACATTGAAGAGCTCTTCTCAAGAACAACATTTTCTGCATCCATTTTTTTCTTCGCCAACTGTATCCATTAATCTTTCTCAAATCAATAGAACCAAGTTACAGAAAAACAAATTTTCTCAAATCTTCTAATTAATGATTATATTATTTATCACCACTTAAAATCATTGTAGTTTTAAAATGTGTATTAAAGGCAAAGAAACTTGATATGGAAGAACTCGGATTTGCTTCTTCCTGGATTCTGCTGATTAATTAATCCAGCAATGAATCCTTTTCGCCTTTCTTACCTTCTTGGTGTTCTCTCTTAAAATGTCAGGCACTCTTAGTCTCATACTTTCTATTGTTCATCTAGTCTTGTACTTTCTATAGTTCATCTTTGCTGACTTGATCTTTTCCTTTCAAATGTTTGTTAATCAATCCTGCCAAGTCTTTCGAACTCATTTTTGTCGAAAATTTGATCTGCACCACAAATGGAGTTAAGTCTAATGATAATATTAACATGAACTAAACAAATAATGTGGCAAATAGTGAAACAATTACCGGGTTGCCTTTATCCCCAGCCTTGTAAAAAAAGAGAGTTGGGTACACATCCACCTGGAACAAGCAAGAATGACAACCATTCATGCCCATACAACAAAAACCAATCAAATATACTGATTCCTGAATCCATTCTACCAAAGAAATAAGTGATCATCCCATATTAATCTACACAATTATAGGAAAGACCATAATATATATATTCTTATGGAGCTCACTCACCACAAGTTTTGGATGTTCATTAACTGAAGCATCTATCTTAGCGAAGACTAGGTTATCCAAACCTTTAAAGTGCTTAGCCAGCTTCTCCGTTTGCTTGCTTGTTGTCTCACAATTGACGCACCAAGGCGTGTACACCTGTTTCAGTAACAGTAAACAAGGCTTTCTTTTGTAAGTTCAGGCAATAGATGGCAGAAGGGGAAGAGAGGGAGGATGCACTACGCCAAGCCACAACAGGAGCCCTGGTTCCTCCCAGTGCCCAGCCCTCTCCGTCTAACTAAAAATAAAAAAATTGAAAATATTATAATTATGGCCCTCATAAAACAATGTATCTAAGTTGTAGCACTATCACTGCTCTGTCTAGCTTAATATATGTATTATGAAAAGCAAATGGTTCTGACTGGTTAAGCATATTGGTGGGGTGGTTCAAAAAGGTGGATGCTATTATTATCTTAGATGCGGCAAGAGAACACTGTTCTACATAACTTAGGGCTGCAACTCTAATGAAAATGAGATAGAATACATAAATCATTATCCCTTGTAAGTTGTTAGGAATTTACTAAAAAATCATGCAATCAAGCAGCAAGAGAACAAATTCATCCTCCATCCTGCCTACCAGAACTAAGATGTAATATGCATGGTGAAAGTAAGGAGGATAGAAGATCATGCATACCTCTAAAAGAACATTTTTGGGGCTGTTCAAGACTAAGTCATCAAATGTCTTTCCAACAATGGTCAGGACACTTGCATTCTCCTGCAAAAATATTTCAGAATCACAAAAGCTCCTTGAAATTAAAATTAAGAGACAATACAAAATATACTTCTAATTTCATTAGGTCGATAGAAAGGTGTTTCCAAAGTAACTGAAGCTAGTGGTTATAAGAGGGCTTGAAAGAAGACACAAAAAACGTACAAAATTACTTGTTACAAGTACAAGGCACTAAGTAATGAAACAATTGTAAAATGGGAAAAATATGACTCACATTATTGGGTATTGACTGCGATTTGTAGTAAGGTGACAAAGTACCCTGCAAAAGTCCTGAGCAGAAATCCTGCAAAAGCAATGTCAGAAAAACATACTAGCAATAATTGATATTTTACTAGAGGAAAAATCTTTTAAGCGAAGTATTACTTCAATTTTACTTGTTGTTGGGTCAGACTCCAACAAGAACTTTGAGTTGACTTTGTTATCAAATGCTGTCACCTAGCAGGGATGAAGAAACAAAATAAATAAATTTATAGCTCCAGTTTTACAATAAACAGATAGGCCTTGATTGGAAAACTGACCACAGTGCTATCTGAATCCTCAAGTCCAAACAAAGTCAAAAAGGGCTTAGCCTGGTTTTCATCTGCGATGTCTATATATATAAACATTATCTGCAGTATGAGGGACAATGTTAGAAATTTATACATGAAAATATTGTTCACCATTCACTTCCTCAAACTAACTACCTTTGATTTGAACTTTCTTGCAACATCCTGAAGAGGCTCAAGAAGATTCTTGAAGTCATCAGCTTTCGCAAAGACAAAAACCTAGTAGAAAACATCCAGATAAAAATAGACATCAAAACTTTGTATTTGGCATGCATATTTCATAATTAGTAAAGCTTTACAGAGGGCATATGTTTTAGCAACAAACAGTCAAACACAACAACCATTGCATGCAAATGGGGTTCATTTGTTCACTCTGGTTGTTGTTTCATTAAGTGACACTAATATGAATAGGGATAATTAATGGTACTGAGAAGCATCATTTTGAGCCATCTTGAATATCTAAAAGAATATTGATTGAAACATTTGTTCTCATGGATAAATTAGAGTACAGAACTTTATAACTGCATGGTAGTTTAGTAAAAAGAAAAAAAGAACCCATTCTTCTAAGATAAGAAAGAGATTTAACAGTCAAAATTAAACATATAACATGGAAACAATTGGGTATAGATATAAGGATTTTAGGACATGAGTTTCGATAACATTTCTAAGCTGCACAAAATGAACAGTCAACATGATTTGAAACCAAGATTTAAAGACAAGGTCATTTATAGTTCACAAATATTAAATTGGCACCCCAGAGAAGCAGAAATTATAATATTTCTTCCAATGCAAAAATATACCAGGATCACTTAGGATAACTGCTGCTATTTGGGCCTACAATAATTAATAAACATAATTCTATGCACTCCAGATCATTATTTCCCAGATCAACGTCTAGACCATCATTTTATCTTTAATTTAACCAGCATTTAACTGTCAATAGATAATTTAAAGGAGAGCATTGATAATCATAATTCCTGAAACATCTTATGAGCATTTTTTTATACAACCCATGAATTATTTTTTACCATTGTTAAAAATTTCAGCACTTTATATATAAATTTACCATCTCCTGTCAATATGCTTCTTGATTTACAAATGCCCTTATCAGGTTCATAATGAAAAAAGTAAGAACTATGTTTTTTCTTTTTCTTCTTTTAAACAAGAAAGAATTCTGTAAAGAAATGAAAGGAAGAGAAACTATACTGGACGTAATTTAACAAAAGAAAAATCTGGGGAGTTGGAGATATAGCAACCTGTAGTTTGACAGGACTGGAGTGTACTCTGACAGAATTCATTTCAGTCAATTTAGTAACCAGTGGAAACTTGTTGTAATCCAGAAACTGCAATATTTTATCGATCTCAAAGCTTCCTTCTGTAAAGCCAAATAGAAAATGGTCATTCATTAAGTTATTTCTCATTGACTAATTTAATTTGTCAACAAACAGAAAAATATGATTAGCTGCAGAAGCTGCCATTGATCAATCACGCATAATTCTAGAATTGTACGTGTGTTAGCTTTTGACCGGAATGGAAGGTAAAGAGAACATGAAGGACAGAGAAACAAATTTTAGTCAACTCTTATGTGAAAATCATGGTGCCAAATAGCAGTTATATTACTTCTAAATCACCAACTCACCATATAAAGTGTATCTCTCTGGTTCACTTTTAACAATCCCAAGGAATAAGTTATTAGCTTTGATATCTGGGAAAAAAACTTTTGCAACCTCAATGCTGTTCACTGCAACAAACTGGATTTCATTGTCAGAGGTTGCTGCCTTCACAAATTCTTCATAATCAGGTCCCTGCAAGAATTTCATGGAACCAAGGTTAATTCCCAAGTGCCCTAAGAAAAACAAATCGTTTAGTTTAACATGTGGTTTGAGAACACATTAGCCACATACCTAGTGGGCTAAGAATATTAGGAGATAATGAGAAGAAATATTAGCATACAAGACAAAAGCCTGCTGTTGGCTCTTCAACTCAAGGTACTTGAGGACAAGAGAATTTTTTTGAATTGACATCATATGATGAGATATGTTCCAGAAAACAATCACAAACTAAGACAGGCTCACATTAAAGAAGTGTCTTAAAAAAGAGAATTAGGTTTTCTCAGGAATGCATACCAACTCCTCATGTCAGTAGTGAAATATAATTTTCTGTAAGCACCTACTGCATCAACCTAGATTCAGAGATAGAGCATAACAGGTCTAGCAAAATAGACTACAAAGACAGTGGGAAATTAATGAATGCCCTCATCACCCATAACCCAAAAGATTGATAACCTCACTATAAAAGTGTCACTTGTGCACTACCAAGTCATTTAGCTATCCCAGATTGGAATCCCCAAAATAGAACCATAAAAGAAGATAGTTCACCTTAATGTTGGCAGAAGTCTAATGTTGACAAAAATATATGGAATCATTTGTCTGCCATAACTTTAAAGTCTAAGCAGGAATCTATGCTGCAAAATTTCGACCATTCCAGGCATGGTTACTGCTAAACTCAAGAAACAACATGCATACGGAACAAGAATGGACCACGTAACATTCCTTGAATCGAACTGAAAGAGAAAACATTCCCATAGTGCTCACAGTCATGGCCTTGTTTAGCATGGTAAAAACCATTGCTTTTCATTCAAATAACATTAAGCACTTAATATGTTGCATGGATAGTCTAACACTTTCTAATACTTGTTCCCAATATTTTGACAAATAGGCATTTCTACGTCCAACAAGAGAAATTGAACAAGTTAAATCTAAATAAGAAGGATTAGATGACAACTAAAACAACCAAATGCCCATGTAAGAGTAAGAAAAGGATAAAAGGATAACAGCAAACTCCCAAGATGCAATGGTCATTACCTTTTAATCAAAACATGAATAAACAAAATAAATGTATCATTGGGGGAGGGGTCTTAGGAAATAATTCTAGCTCCAGATTCCAGAATCAGTCTAGCAATAACTAATAGCAGCACTTTAAGATGATTTTGAAATGATAAAAAACAACATACCTCAAATTTCTCGAACAGACCAATCACAAACATATGATACTTCTTAAGAAAATGTTCTGCCTCAATTACTGTGTTCAGTCTCACGACTGGCACACCAGTTTTCTTCCTTGCCCATATCACTATTTCTTCCCTGAATAAATTTTAACCCAATAAAAGATCAAACACTAAATTTTAAGCTCCATAATAATCCCTCCAATATGCTTTGATAAATGGATCGTGTGTTGCAAAATTTTAGCAGCTACTTCAAATAGAATAAAAGCAACAATAAAGATAAAAATGTGCGCAGATCCAGTCAAAGGAAAGTTATGAGCAACCATAACTGAGCATGAGAACAGAAGCATGACTTACGCAGTAAATCCACCAGTATAAGGTTGAGAAGTCCCATTAACAAACAGAAGCAGAGTAGGGAACCCCTTTACATCAAGCATGGAAGCCACCTTAGGGTACCTGTCACCATCAAGTTTAGCCATCAAAAGGGGACTTCCCAATTCCTTCAAGGAGTTCGCAGCCTCAGCAAACTGAGGCATAAGCTCAGCACTCCTCACACACCAGGGAGCATACCCAAGAACCATCACATACTCATTCCCATCAATGACCCTCTTGGTATTATCACTATCAAGCTCAAGAACTATCCTCTGTGCTTTAGCCAACACCTCTGCCTCTGATAACCTTCCACCACCACCACCACCACCCCCTTCTTGTTCCTGCCCCTGTTCTCGGTCCTCCTGCTCATCTAAGGCTAGAAGTTGTTCGAGATCATCAGAATCATCATTTTGGGCGTCATTGCTTGTGGGATCTGATGCAATGGAAGAGGAGAGTAGGAGAAAAAGCGTGAGGGTCAAAAGGAAGAATCTTGAAGGACGCATGGTGATTACGGGGTTTTGAGAATTCTGGAATGGAATGAAGAATTTTGTGGTGGAAGATGAGATCTCCGTCTCTACTGTAATAGGTTTTTGTTGGTGTCTGTTGAAAGGATTAAATCTCAGCGCCTGTCCCGGCGCAACATTGAATAGATTGGGAGTGTAAATGGAAACACAATCATAC